TTTAAAAAAAAAAAAAAAAAAAAAGAACAGCTCCTTGTACCACTAGAAAAGGACAGCAAGAGAGTCAAGTATATCACAAAATATTGCCCATTACCAAGAAGAAACTTAAGGGGAATATTCAATTATTAAAGGACAAAAAAGGGGTAACAGCCTAAGATCCAGCTTCTTCATCTGTATGATGAAGGTAACACTAGGACTGCTCTGGGAATCTACATGGTGTAACATAAGTGAGAATCCCCAGTACACTAACTTTTTTGATCCTCATAAAAGGCAGTTTCCTTCCCTCCCTCTAAAGTCAATCACAGAATATTAAATTGAAAGGAAAGCTTACATATCATCTTGTCCTGAGTTAATAAATAAAATAATTTGAAAATGTTATAATCTGTACAGAATTCCTTAATTATAAAAAAAATAATAAAAGGCAGTAAGACTTTACTATAGGTTCTCAAAAACCTTACCAATGTCAAACCTCACCAGTGGAAAAACTCCTTTGCACTGTTGCAACAGGGACTCCTTCCCTCACCAACATCTGAGCATTTCCTCCAAATTGGTAGGAAGTAGGTACAAGTTTCCCTCCCTGCTGTAAGGATTATGGGTTAGCAAGCAGAGATAGACATCTGTGCTTCAAGTTGGTCATGAAAATCAAAACTGAAACCCAAAAACATTTTCTCATAGGAAAAATAATAATGGTTAGATTTTTAAGCTAGCAATTTAATAATGCAGCTAACATACCATTTGAATTAACTTTTTTTTTCATTTTAGTAGAACATTTAAGCTACTTTATAGATTGAACTAGATTTTATGAACAGGCCTAGGAGTATAGCTCTAACATGCTTATAGAAAAACGCGCCCTGAGTTTTGAACAATTTATACAGGAACTTTCAGACCCTAATTGAGAAATAGACAGTAGAAGAAAGCTGTGAGAGAAGTAGAAAGAGAGTTGCCTTGTTTGGCAGAAAAGGCAGCTGAATTACACTAAATCACAGCTGCTAATGTCTTCAGAATAACTGCCTCTCTCATTTAGCAAGCATTTAAGTCCTATTCTGTGCGCAATGCTGTGCCTCTCCACGGCAAATAATTTTTCTAAAGCTAAACCCACAATCCTAGGAATGCAACGATTTCATTACATCTTCCTGAGTAAATCACACCACCAATCCTAGTGTTTTAAGATTCACATATGCCTATCTTGATTACCTTGCCTTGCCTCCTTCTCAGAACTAACACATATAAGGAAACACCTGCATTATTATTACTCTAAGTACTACAGGGAAAAGAAGAAATTAACATCTATTAAGCATTTGGTAGGCTCTCATTTGATTTTCACAATCCTGTAGGTAAATATTATCCCCAATTTACACATTAAGAAAATGATGTTAAATAACTTGCCCACAACACCAGTCAAGAAGCCAAGGCTCAGAACTCTGCCAACTCCACTACTCAAGGGTTCCTCCCCAAAAGGAAAGAAATTACCCCTTAGGTGCCGCTGGACAGTTGACCACTTTCACATCAATTATTTGTTATTCTAGTTAAGCAGTTCTGAGAGAAAATTATAGAGAAGACAGACCATCAACTCATTTCATAGAAGCTATTTAGTATTTAGGGAAGCTCTAAGAGAAAGGGTAAAATGTTCCCAGAGGTGAATCCCGGCTCTTCACAGCATTTCCCAATTCCGGCTCTAGCACCGGGGCTCCTTTTATCACCTCCATCCTAGCGTGTTATTATGCCAGTATAGCATAGCTAATTAAAAATTCCTGAAAGTTACCATTCAAAACAAGGTTATCTAAAGCACAGATCTCACTGCAGGTCCTTACATTTAAACAAATTCAATTTTCACATAACTTGCCTGATGGTATTCCTAAACATTTGTTACCACTGCCAGTTTAAAAAGCGATTTTGTACTGAATTGTGAACCAGATCTTGATTTAGCTGCAGTAAAAATGGGAAACAAAAATCTATGTTTAGACAGATTACCCATCTATACTTTTCCACTACAGCTTTGGGGGGAGGGGGGGAGGACTGTACACTCAACATTTTAAATCTGCTTCTAACTGAACAAGATGACAGGTGACTTACAATAATGCAATGTGGCTGAACTCCTCTATCATGCAATTGCCACAAAACTCTTAACATACAAGTAAAACATTCAATCCCTTGAATTATTAAATATTCTTTTTAAAGAAGTTAAAAGTTATACGAATTATTTAGCTTCTGGAGTTTAACACTTGTAACAGATTTTTAAAAAGAGGATTCTAAGAGGAATAACGGTCTCGCCTAAAAACAAGTTTGTTTTTAACAAAGCCTGGACTGGAATACACACTAAACTTAACATTGAGACATGTCCAAAAACACCTCCTATTGTAAGGTAATTATCTGTAATACTGAAGGCAAAATAAATTAAAATGAATAAACATTTAAAGCCAAATATGTGCAAAATTTTGAACTGGGAAGATGTCAACGTGTTCTACCTTTTATTTTTTTTTAAGGTCCAATAATAAACACTGCCCTCATCAACGCAGGTGCGGAAACTCATTAAAACTGAGGTTTGGGAGCGGAGAACACAGATTCCCAGAATTTGGTTTCTTGGGTAGAGCTGCCCGGTGCCCCATACCCGAAACCTCGGGCGGCCGCTGGACCCTGCCCACCCATCCCGCCAGCCGCACCTGCCGAGGCTGGGCCGCCAGCGCCCCCTGCCGCCCTCCCCACGCCCGGGGACCCGATTCCACCCCCGCGCCCCGCGCCCGCGCCGCCCCCACTCTGCGCTCGCCCTGCCGAGGCCGCGCAGCCTGCGGGCAGGGGCGGGGGCGCGCGGGCGCGAATCGAGGCGGGGCGGGCGCATGGGCGCGTCCCCCAATTCCCCGCCGCGGCCTGGCCGGAGCCTCACCTACCTACGCCGTATTTCTCCTCCTCCGTGGGGGTCCACATGGCCGGGCCGGGCGCGGCCCCGCGGGNTGAATAATGAAAGGACAGCAACTTGTCTGTTCCGCTTCCCCAATTCCCCAATGCTGTTCCCCTCCCACAATTCCCCAATAAAATCTTTTTTAAAAAAAAAAAGAAGGGAGAGGTGATTATAAGGTGTAAGGCTCAAGCAGAATCATGACGTGGAAAAACCAAATAATAACACATCAAGCACATCCTAACTTTTTAGAACAAAATAAAGTCCTGGGTATATGACATCTTTTCTATCTCCAGTGGATGTCTTTACTTCTGAGAAGTATGGGGGCCCTTTCAGAGGCTTCAAAGGTTGGGATTGCCTCATGGAGCAAGTAACTAAAGAGTTCACTGCCCTCACCCTATTTCACTGAGATGTAGCCCATATACCAACAGATTTAGTGAAATTCTGTGAACTCTAGGCTAGCTCTTTCAGATCTGGTTTCATGGACCCGCCCCACAGGATTTTTTATAAGTTAAATTTCTTTTAAGGCTTTTTTTTAAATAGTGTTCTTTTGTTTTGTTTCCCTTATCTGAGGAAAATAAAGCAAAAGGAAATCAGGTAAAAGTAATACAGCAAATATGCATTACTTTTTTTTTTAAGATTTTATTGGGAAATTGGAGAAGGGGAACAGTGTTGGGAATTGGGGAAAAGGAACAGCTAAGTTGTTGTGCTTCCATCTTAGTTGTGGAGGGCGCAGCTAGCTCAGCTTCAAGTCCAGTCGCCATCTGGCTGCCTGGCGGCAGCTCGCACCCACTCAACTCAAGGTGCTGTGTTCAATCTTAGTTGCGGGTGGGCGTAGCCCACCATCCCATGCAGGAATCGAACCAGCAACGTTGTTGTTAGGAGCAAGTCCTGTCACCAGCTGAGCCATCCTGCCACCTGTTGGCAGCTCAGCGGCAGCTCAGTTCAGGCGCAGCTCACTGGCCCATGTGGAAATCGAACCGGCTACCCTGTTGCTCAGAGCTCGCGCTCTTAACCAACTGAGCCACTCGACCAGCCCCTGCATTACCTTTTAAATTAGAAAAAATATAACATTACAAAACTAAAATATAAGGTATTCTAGTTGGTAATGAGGAAAATTTTTCATGGTCTACTAAAGCGGGGATTAGGAAAGAATAAGCAACAAATGCCCTGAATTATATAAAAATTCACCTCATAACAGAATAAACATGATGACCTTCTGAGGCTCCTTCCACTTCTAAGATGCCAAACAAATACATATGTACTCAAACTTTTACTGCTTTTCTATTGTAGGAGTTTAATTACAAACCTTGTTTTATTTGTTGTTGATGTTTGCTGCTGCTGTTAGAAGATGGGGAAAGTATTTTCTTGGTCTTTGGTTTCCATTATTTGGTAGTTTGTGTGCAATCAATAAGGGAAAAGACAGATAGTTCACAAAAATAGCTGGATTTTTCTCACCTAATGCACTTTGGAACAGGAAGATTCTTGTAAAGGTAAAATAAATAATAAAAGGATGCAGGGCTTTCAACAGAAAGGAAAGCAGATTATCTCTAATAGGGAAAGAGACATAAAGAGTCAGAATATGGATTAAAGGGTTCAATAAAGAACAGCTCCGGGCCGGCCGAGTGG